TTGACAAAAAAAAAAAAAAAAAAAAAAAGCTAAACAAAATCAGTCTTGAAAATCTTCTGTGGACTCAGGCTGTTACATTTGCGCCGCTCCATTGTTGCCACTTTAAGCAACTCACACAAACTTATTAGAGACACAGCTAAAGATAGACGGGTTATTTATCAGAGATTATACAATCGTTAGAAGATTAATACGCCTGGGGAGCCTAAAGACTCTGAGCTGACTTTCATCTCAGACCTGCCCCAACAGAGCGAGCTGAGGTTAGAGACACAGGGTTGAAAAAGATAAAGCAGACTATCAGAAGACACGGTCTTCAAACGCAGCCGCACTGCTGTGTTTGTGTGTTCATTGCTTTAACCCCATAATGAGTAGCCTCGAGGGGGTCCAAAGCCATTTGGCATTTCTTCATTTCCTGATTTAAAAAAAAAAAAAAAACACCATTGAGCCTTTTATCTCTTCAGCTCTGACACAAAAATACATACAGAGGCACTCACACACAACACATACCGGTTGTGGTCTTACCACAAAGTTTTGCACAATTAAGCTCACTTTGCTCTTAGAAATGAATGTTGTGTGCATTTACAGGCCAGATATTTATGTTTGTGTGCACGTGTGTGCGCATGTGGAGGCTGTAATTAACCAAAATCAAACCGCTACAGTTGAAGAGTTAGCCATCACTGGAGATCTAAACTATGCGACATGGAAGAGTGAAATCCAAGGTTTGGAGCCAGACAGACAGATTTTGACCTCAGATTGCAGATAATTGTGGCTTCCTCTTTTTGTGTCTCAAACACATGCACCCCCCTCCCGCCCACACACACACACACATGCTCAAACCCAACTTCAAATAGATTTAAAGTTCAGCTACTAATGTGAACTGAATTTGACTTAAGGGTACGTAAATGAAAATAACACTTTTTTTTTCCTGCCACACTGTCAGCATAAACGTTTCCATCTTTTTGATTTTGACAACATAATCTACTTTATAAAGGTCAGGAAAACACCAGATTTATATGTAATGACTACCAGTATTGATGTTCATACATGACGGTTTTATTCTGTCTATAAATACATATTCATGACTCCAAGTTGAGCCAGAGATAAAAGGACTTCACAAAAGAACGATAACTGGTTTTATTGGGGGGATTTTAAGAGGCTAAAACTTTAAGAAGTTTTGTGTGCAAATGTCTCTATAAATAATATTCATATTCTGATGATTTGAACCACTAACAGGGATTAAAACAAATTCTACAATACAAATCTGATATGGAATCAGTTAACTGCATGTTGCCAGAAATGCACTTTTATCTGCTGCGATAAATGGGGAACCATATTTTCCCCCCGTACAAGTCGCTCCGGCGTATAAGTTGCATTAGTCCAAAAATGTCTTAAGTGGAAAAAAACACAAGTCGCTTTGCCGTATAAGTCACATTTATTATGCATCACTGCTGACTGCTATGAAAAGTGGGCCGGTGTTGTGCCAAAAATTGATTGGCTGCCAAATGGCGGCCTCGGGAGCGAGCACGGGAGGACTTTAACAAGACATTAACAAGATTAACACTTAAAAACAATTTGTTTGCACAACATTATAGCAAAAGGAGTGTCTCAGTTTAACTTTTCCTTAATAAATGCACTTTAATGATCAAAACAGCTTCATTTCAAAAATTGGTTGGCAGCTGTGGGAGCGCGCAGAGGGAGGGTGGGGGGTAGAGGAACAACCTATAAAAGCCTAGAGCTCCCTCTAGTGGCTGCAACTGGTAATGTTTACTGGTTCATGTCGATGAATGAACATTTCAAATAGTCAAAATTTGGGTTATAAATATGGGGAAAAAAATGTATATTAGTAGCTTCGGTGTATAAGTCGTAGGACTTGCAAATTTATGCAATAAGGTTCGGTGTGACTTATACGCCAGAAAATACCATAAATTTCCTGTTGAATTGTCCCCTCTCAGTTGAACAAGCTCCATATTTTCTAGACTTCTTATACAAATAGATGTAATGCCAAGGTGGTACATGTTTGGTTTATTAAAGTTGTCTCAGTGTTACTAATACAGTACACCTCTTTTTTTTTGTTTTTTGTTTTTTTCCAACAAGCTCGTGGTTCCCCAGGCTCTCTGAATCATCGTTAAGTCCTTTGAAGGCTTTTTTTTTAACTTATTTTTTATCTAGTCTGTAGATGTGTTGTGCAGTGTATGCTTAAAAATTAGGAAAAGAACGAGTGAAAATGATGC